CATACATACATACATACATACCTGTACATACATACATACATACATACCTGTACATACATACATACATTATTTTCTGCTTACTCTTAAGTCTGGTCTCAGGGGCAGCAGCTTGAGCAGGGAGGTCCAGACATCTCTTTCCACAGCTACCTCTTCCAGCTCTTCTGGGAGAACTCCCAAGATGTTCCCAGGCCAACTGAGAGATGTAGTCTCTCCAGCGTGTCCTGGGTCTTCCCCGGGGTCTCCTCCCAGTTGGACATACCAGGAGTTCCTCCCTAGGGAGGTGTCCTGGAAGCATCCTTACCAGATGCCTGAACCACCGCAATTGGTTCCTATCGATGTGGTCAGCGATTCTACTCTGAATTTCTCCTGATAACTGAACTTCTCATCCTACCTCTAAGGGAGAGTCCAGCTACCCTGCAGAGGAAACTCATTTCAACCTCCTGTATCCACAATCTCATTCTTTTGGTCACTATCCAGAGCTTGTGACCAAAGGTGAGGGTAGGAACATAGATCAACGGGTAAACAGAGAGCTTTGCCTTACAGCTCAGCTCCCGCTTCACCTCAACGGACCAGCAAAGAGTCTGCAATACTGCAGATGCTGCATCAATCCATCTGTCAATCTCAGCTCCATTCTTCCCTCACTCGTGAACAAAACCCTGAGATACTTGAACGCCACCACTTGAGGCAGAACCTCACCCTCGACCTGAAGAGATCAATCCACCCTTTTCTGACTGAGGAGCATGGCCTCAGATGTGGAGGTGCTGATTCTCATCCCATCTGCTTCACACTCGGCTGCGAACTGCTCCAGTGAGAGCTGAAGATCACGGCACGATGACGACATACAATTGAATTATTTACAGAAAACTATTCTGTTGTTTCCAGAAACGTATTGCAGCTGCAGTAGCACTTCTGCTTGGCCAGCCGACAGTTCTGATCATCGACGTATGTCAAAAGTCAGAGACATAATGCAGAAGTTGAAGCCAGATTGGATGAGTGCCCCCTGTAGGCTGGCTGCCGTACAAGTTTAAGTTCATATGAAGAAATGGGTCTAAATAAAAATACATTATAATAATTGTTTTACATGTGGTGATTTTTGTTGATTCCCAAAGTTCTTACTATGTACCCCCAAAAAAGTTCAATCTGGTCCTCTGGACATTCAAAAAACAAGAAAACAACAACAACAACAAAAAAAACAAAGCAAAAAAAAAATGTAGAAATGTTTCGTCTTTCATCCAAGAGACTTCCTCAGTCTGAGGTGCTGTATTCAGCTCAGTCTCTTAAATAGCACCTTCTCAGAGTGGATCAACCAGTTTTGCTGCTGACAACCAGAACCAGCTGATCACATGCTCAAGAAGGACCATCAGCCTAACAATGGATCATTAGCACCTGATGGCTGTTTACTGTTCACAGAGGGCTGAGTGATACTAGCAATCACAGCATTGTAAGAGGGGGACAGTTGAACCCGGAGGCTCCGCCCCTGTTTAATGATGGACGATTTCTTTTCACAAAGATGGCCTCCTTTACTCCTCTCTCAAACCATCGTTCCTCTCTGTCCAGGATGTGAACATCTTCATCCCTGAAAGAGTGACCGCTGGCCTGGAGATGAGTGTAGACCTCAGAGTCCTGGCCTGATGATGTTGATCTTTTGTGCTGGTCCATCCTTTTGGCCAGTGGCTGTTTAGTTTCCCCGATGTAAGACTGACCACAGCCCTCCTGACACTGAACAGCATACACAACATTACTCTGGTCCAGATGACCAGATTGAACTTTTTTGGATTTTTCTACCTGGATTATTGAGCATGTATCAGGATATCTTACTTTGTACATTGTTCTTGTAGCTTCAAATATTTTTTCTGATATGTTTATTTGGGGTTGATTGGTTTTTTCATGCCTAAAAACATCACTGTATTTTCTATAAATACATTAACAGGAGTTCCCACGAAGCAGATCATCACAACATCAGTTTTCAGCAACAAGGTGAGGCAGAGACCCTTCATCCTTTTTATATTGATAGGGACTTTGTAATATTTTGTAAATAACAGTGTAAAGTGAAATTTCTGGTGATGTAAAGACTGAAACATTAGCATTTACATGAACCAAAAAACTATGAAGATTAACTGTTTTGAAGACGGCAGTGGTTCTGGTCTGAGGAGAACCATATTAGCTTATTGACACAGTCCAAAGTGAAGACATTCAAAGTGATCAGAACATAATTTAAATAGTTTAAACTAGAGGCAGGGCAGAAAGTCCCAGGTTCAATCCCCGGTCACTGCATACCTCGTGATGTCTCTGGACAGCACACATTATCCCCAAAATGCCCCCCAGGCACTTTCAATAGCTGCCCACTGCACCACCTGGTGGTGGATGGGTTAACTGCAGAGACTAATTTCACTCTTGTATGGAAACATACAGTGATGACAATGTGATGACATTATTATTATTATTATTATTATTATTATTATTATTATTATTATTAAACACTATAAAGATACTGTAAGTCTGTTTTGAACCCTTTTTAAGAAGAGCATTGTTTTTTTAGTTTTTGTAATTTAGGCTGAATTTCTAACAGAATCCTTCTGACCTGACGGCTGCATGGACGTGTTTGTCACGAGTTGTGAGTGTACAAGCTTTGGGACTTTTAAATCTTTAGATGCCTAAAATATATAAAGAAGAAAAAAGATTCTGTATGTGAGACTGACTCCACAGATACTTGTACTCAGCATCTTCTGAGTTTCTAACACCAAAGTCCAACAAAACTCTCTAAAGGTTTCCTGTGACCTTCCATTGTGTGAAAAATATTTTCTTGACATATTTTAAAATAATAAATAACTTTGACATAAAATGCAATTTCAAATACTTTCTGTCACAAGTTTTAATACAATGAATGAAGTTCATATTTAAATTTGTATAACAACAGTTTAGAAAAAAAAAAATCAAAAATCCTAAATATCTTCTATTTTGTTTGTATCTCCTTCAAAAGATCCAGCACTTGAAAATGATCTTTACACCAAAGTTGTACTGTTGATAACAAAGTCCATGCTCAATAATCCAGGTATACAATCCAATATTTTTCAGTCAGGTCATCTGGACAGTTTCTTTTTTTTGTGCTGAAATGTTTCACCTTCAATCCAGAAGGCTTCATCAGTCAAGGAAACACACAACAAAACTGATTCTTCCCCCAGCAGCTTACTCCAAAGTGGAACAAACCAGCCTTGCCTGTGATAAGATGGTCTCTTTGGTATGCTCCCTTGTTGACAGTCCTGTCAAACTGGTTGAAAACCAGTTTACTGGTTGAAAATCTTATCACAGGCAAGGCTGGTTTGTTCCACTTTGGAGTAAGCTGTTGGGGGAAGAATCAGTTTTGTTGCGTGTTTCCTTGACTGATGAAGCCTTCTGGATCGAAGGTGAAACGTTTGAGCACAAAAAAAAAAGAAACTGTCCAGATGAGCTGACTGAAAAATGTTGGGTTGTACTGTTGATGTTTCAGCTGCTGCTTACAAACTGGTCAAATGTATCTGTAGGACTTTTCAGCATTGTCCTCAACTATTTATGTAGAGTCAAAGTGCCCCTTTCTGATAATGGTTTCTAAAGGAAATGTAACTAAGAATTAAGAACTTTTACAAGAACACCGTGTCTTTGGACAGCTTGAATGTAAAAGTACTTTGTTTGTCAAAACCACAAAATCATACGAAGAATTTAATTTTTGTTCTTGTGGTCAAATTAGAAATTTAACTGACTTATGTTGGATAAACAAAAAGCTGTCAGACTGCAGCCAAGGAGCGACTTCAGAAGATCATTGTTCTAATTACCCAAGAGATTAATAAACATTCATGCAAAAAAAGCTCAAGTTAAGCATAACTGATATCTGCTAATACACAGCAATACCTCTATATTTTATTTTTGAATGGTTGATAAGTTCTAATTGTTTTGCTCAAACCTGTAAGAGTAACAAGATTGTTCATGTTGACAGTAAGAAGGAATGAGCATGCATCGATAAAGCACTGCACAACTTAGCAGTTTGAAGAACACTTGTTTATTTTGAAATGACTTACAAGATCTGTTTCTTTTTCAATAAAAGTTTAAAAAGAAGCATCTTTCTGTCATGTTTATTTGTCAGTAAAGCCCATTTCACCTCCAAAACGATGAAATTCAAACAAAATGCACCCTCAAATGAAATACTCAAAGCACTTGTTTCTTTCGTCATCCAGCTCCTGGGTCTCAATCTCAAACTTCTTCATGGCAATAAAATACTGAACAAAGGGCTCTCCGAGAGCACAGCAGATGACGTGGTCCTCCTCCAAGGCCTCCAGAGCATCATCGAGCTTCACAGGAATGGTGATCTCTCTCTGTTGTCCGGGAGCTTTGTTCAGAAGACTCTCGATGTTCAGGTTCCTCCTGATTCCATCCAGTCCTGCAGCCACGGTGGCAGCAAGCACGATGTAAGGGTTTGCCATGGCTGAGCCAAGCTTGTTGTCAATGTGTGTCTCCCTCCCACCATGACACTTGATGTTAAAAGAACTGCTGTTATCGTTGCTGCCGCAGGTGGCGTACAGCATCTGTTTGGGGTCTTTGATAGTCTTGGCAATGTGACTCCGGCAGCCGAGGCCAGGCGACATGAGGCAGCTCAGGGCAGCAGAGTGGGTGAGGAGACCAGCCAGCCACTTCCTCCCAATTTCAGACAGCTCGTCTGCCTTTTCCCCACTCTGAAAGAGGCTACGTCGCCCATTAGCATCCCACAGGCTATGGGAGAGCACCCCAGCATTGTAAAGACCATCATCAGTGAAAAAGCTGGCAATGTAGCTGTGTTTACGAGCCATTTCTTTGATGCCGGTGCGGAAGGTAAAAGCACTATCAGCAGCTGCGATTCCAAACTCTGGCCTCAGGTTGATTTCCATTTGGCCGGGGCCGCTTGCAGAGGCGATGCTGTCGATGTCTGCACCCATGCAGTACATGCTGTCCACCAACTGCTGGAGGAAAGGCAGGTCGTGGTTACTGAGAAGAGTGGTGGCAGGGAACAGGAGTGTTTTTGGTCCGATTCGGTCAGGGGCTCCCAGGACGCAGCATTCGTAGGTGAAGGATGAGTGCAGGGAGAATCCCAAGCTTTGGAGCTGCCCGAGAAGCTGCTTGGCAATGAGTCGAGGTGAAGTGCGAAGAGGACTTCCTGTTACAGTGCATGGATCACAGATGATCCGCGCTGTCTGCTCAGCCCAGGGTAGGACCCTGAAGGTTGGAAGGTCAGGGATCAAAAGAACATCACTGCTGAAGTTAGCAGTGCTAGTGTGGTCCACTTCAGTGCTCTTGGGACTCAGGGTCAGCTCCAAGTAGCTTCTTGGCATGGGTACCCCATAGACCGCTTTCTCCTGTGAATGCAATTTTTCCAATAAGCACAGATAACCACTTTAAAAAAAATTTCTAAAGAAAACACTTTTTTGTCACTGAAGAAAAGACCGAGGAGTTAAACACTTTAGTTTGTCTTGAATTTCACAAAAGTACCAACCAGTGAAACTAAGGGAATCATTTTTTCTTGTTGTGTCTCTGACATTAGTCATAAGTAAAATGTATGTAGGGACATAATTCCTTACATGGAAGAAGCGGACAGGCACTGTCTTGGACCGTGACACTCCATGAAGATCAGTTGCTTCAAAGCGAACAAAGTTGATGTTTTCTCGAGCAATCTGTTGCTTGATCTGCTCCATGGCAGCAATGAACTTCAGGTTCCCAGATAACTCGGCCGTCTTGTTTTTGTTGTCTGTGGAAACAGTTTAAAATATCCACAAATCAACTGACAGCCTTTGGCTTCAAACATTGAAATTTCACCTTAGAAAATAAAATCTTGTTTTTTAAACTCGACAATCCAGCAGCTTCTAGACCACTTCAGAAAAGTCAAAGTCATACTTTGATGTGTTTGCTGGTAATTGTAGTTCTAAATTGTTTTTACACGAAAAATAATCAAATAGGTTTACTTTGAAATCGAAAAATATGCAGGTCTTTTGCTGGGGACCAATAAACTTTTAATAAAACTAATAATCAGAGAAAGTAAAATGCTGCACACAATCTGAAACATTTAAATAGTATGAAACAATAATAACATTGAAAGAGGCTATTTGAAAACGTGTTATTTTTGCTTATGAATATTTAAGTTATATTGAGAATAAAGATGAATTCTGACCTGAGTGAGAATCTGCAGCCTCTCCCCAGGAGCCGTTGTTTGAATGTCCGTACGTCCTGACGCCAAGCTGTCTTTTTGTGTTGGTGGTGGACCTGAACGAGCTCGATGAATCCATGGTGGGAGGCAGCTGAATAGAACTGCTGTCTCTGGAGCTGGCCTCTCTTCTGGAAGCATCAAACTGAGGTTTGAAGGTCCTGAAAGTCCTATGATGGTTTCCATTGTCCTCTTGTCCGTCAGGTCCTCCACCACTGCTGCTGCTCTCGTGCAGGTATGTATAGGGACCTCCTGGTTTCCCCTCTTCTCTTTCTGGGATATGGAGCAGAGGGCTGTCCTTCAGGATGGTCTTCAGCTCCTCTATGGTCTGGCGGTGAACACCCATCTCACCGAAGGGCGTCCTGGTCTGAGATGATGTTCCTCTCCTCCAGTCCTCCCCACCTGCATTTTCATCTGCTCTGAGACCACCAGCCTGCTCTGGAGACCGTTGAAGCAGAGGAACAATGGAGATAACTGCAGGAGCATCTGACGTTGTCTGGGTGCTGACGGGGGAGTGAACAATTGACGGACCTCTTGCACTGCTGCTCAGGTCTGCTGGGGGCACACATTTCCCAGTTACCTTAACTCCCTTTTTGTTGCCCAGGCTCATCCCCGGACCATCTGTTTGGTCGTTGCTTTTACGCTGGAAAACACACATCAGGTCCATCACCCACTCTGGTAAGAGTCCGTCCAGTGGTAAAATTTTAATCAAAAATTTTGAATCTATATTTCTCAAATAAAAACTTAGTCTGTTTAATAAATTACCACCAATAATAGATACAGTTACAGAACGATATGTAACACCTTACTGTATTTCACTGATGAATGAATCAAATATGAATAAAAGTTTTTACCTTGAAATCTTCAGAGTCATTCATTTCCATCTTTGTGCTCATGAGATGCATTTGGAAATGGACAACCCCCAGCTGAAGGCAGAACTTGAATCACACAATAATTTCTATAGACAATTGGTTCAATGATGGGATAAAAAAATTCTTTCTGACCCCATCACGTACCGGAGTCAGGCTGGAAACTGTCTCCTGTCGGCCGTTGGCAGAGACTGAACCACTGATGCTTTGATGTCATTGGCTGTTGGCGAGGACAATTCAGTGCTGTTTCTGTGTCACTGCAGACTGAAACTGCAGAGCACAGCAGTTTGGCTCAGGCTTCCAGAAAGAAATGGGAGTACTTCCAAATGTATTCACTGCAAGAATACTCAACTTTGAAAACAAGAAAGTTCCACACAAATCAATTTTCTATTTTCTGTGAACAGTAAACAGCCATCAGGTGTTAATGATCCATTGTTAGGCTGATGGTCCTTCTTGATCATGTGATCAGCTGGTTCTGGTTGTCAGCAGCAAAACTGGTTGATCCACTCTGAGAAGGTGCTATTTAAGAGACTGAGCTGAATACAGCACCTCAGACTGAGGAAGTCCTCAGGATGAGAGACGAAACGTTTCTACATTTTTTTGTTGTTTTGCTTTGTTTAGTTTTTTTGAATGTCCAGAGGACCAGATTTAACTTTTTTAGATTTTTCTACCTGGATTATTGAGCATGCATCAGGAAACTCTGTAAAAGGACTTCTAGGAAATGAAGACATCAGTTTGAACTAGTTTAGACAAAGAACTGTAAGAATGTGTGACACGTCTCTGGGTGGAGCTTTTGTGTTTAAATACAGAAGGAACTAAAGCTCGGGTCAGACGCGTCTTGGGTTTTTGTTGTATCTCTGTCGGTTTGGGGTAAGAGCGTCTCCTTTCAGCTGAAAGCTTTAATAAATGTTGGTAATACTTTTTACCTTGAATCTCTCTGACTGATTATTGTGTCTTTTCTCCATGTATCTCCGAACCAATGAGAGGAACAGGTGAATAGGCTGAAAAGTCTGAGTTGTTGTGTTGATTTTCCTCAACAATTTTAGTGCGGAAAACCCGGGATACTCCCGCAGCTATCCACAAGTTTGAGCAGGAACCTCAAGTCCATCCCAAAGATTATATTACCCTGGTGGCTGAAAAGTGGACGAGACACAACAGTAAATCCTAAAGGAACACCCTCTAATTTAACTGAATTATTTAGAGAGGCAGTCCTGAAGGGAGTGCCCACATCTGTGGCAGAACTGATGAGACAGAATCCAGATGTCCCTGGGTGTGACTACAATAAGTGGCAAAGACATCTAATACACCACCTGCAAACAATACGAGAAGAACAAATAAAGAAAAATAATGAGAAAGCTGAATTAGAACATCAATTGCTTAAATTACAGCTGCAGGAAGCTAGTCAAGTCAAGTCAAGTCAAGTCAAGTCAAGTTAGATTTATTTATCGAGCACATTTAAAACAGAAACTGTTACCAAAGTGCTTAACAAAAATATCACATCATCAAATAAAAAGTAGCAAGATATATTTACAGCACATGGAATAAAAATATAAAACCAAAAACATAATCGGAAACAATGAAATACTAAATCAGATCAGATGACCTTGTGTTAAACAGGAATAATAACAAAAGCATAAACAGAATCAGCATCAATGAAAAACTAGATCTAAGTCCGATCCCCCTGTGTTAAATGTCAGTGAGTACAGATGTGTCAGTGAGTACAGATGTGTTTTGAGGAGACATTTAAAGGCAGAGACTGAGGTGGCCTGTCGAATGTTGATGGGCAGATTGTTCCAGAGTTTAGGACCCACGACTGAAAACGTTCGATCTCCTCTGAGCTTCAGCTGGTTTTTGGTACGGCCAAAAGCAGCTGGTCTGATGATCTCAAAGCTCGAGAAGGAGTATAAGGATGAAGGAGGTCAGAGAGGTATGATGGTGCAAGGCCGTTAATGCACTTGAATGTCAGCAGGAGAATTTTAAAATCAACTCTGACACGTACAGGAAGCCAGTGAAGAGAGGACAGAACCGGAGTAATGTGCTCAAACCTGTGAGTTCCTGTTAGTAGCCGAGCCGCAGCATTTTGTACGAGCTGGAGACGTGAAAGTGAAGCCTGACTAACACCAACATAAAGCGAGTTACAGTAGTCCAGCCGGGTTGTAATGAATGCATGGACTAGTTTTTCAAGGTCAGATCTGGACAGAACGGACTTAAGCTTTGCTATTTGCCTTAACTGAAAGAAGCTTTTTTGTAGAACAGAGTTGATCTGTTTATTAAACTTAAAGTCCGAGTCTAACACTACCCCGAGATTGGTAACTGACTGCTTTAGATGTGGCTGAAGGGAGTGCAGGTTTACAGGATCAGTGACAGTGGTAGAGCTAGGGTTAAACACAATGACCTCAGTCTTCTGATCATTAAAACTCTAGAAGCTTGCAGCCATCCAAGTCTTGATGTCATCAAGACATTTTAGCAAAGGGTGGATGGAGCAGGAACTGTTTGGTTTTAAAGGCAGATAGATCTGAGAATCATCGACGTAACAGTGAAACGAAATACCATGTTTCCTCAGGATTGACCCCAAGGGGAGCAGATACAATGAAAATAGAAGAGGTCCAAGAATGGAGCCTTGTGGGACCCCACAGGAAAGAGGGACAGAAGCAGAAAAATGATTGTCAAAGTTAACACAGAAACTCCTGTCACCCAGATACGAACGGAACCAGTCTTGCGCCACCCCTGTAATCCCAACCCAGTGTTCTAGCCGAGACATAAGGATGCTGTGATCAACAGTGTCAAATGCAGCGGTAAGGTCGAGGAGTACCAGGATCACAGACTGACCAGAGTCATTTGCTAGCAGAATGTCATTACAGACCCTTACTAAAGCGGTCTCAGTGCTGTGCAGTTGTTTAAATCCTGACTGAAAAATCTCAAAAATTCCATTTACATTCAAAAACCTGGTTAGTTGACTAAAAACTATTTTCTCCAAGATTTTAGAAAGAAATGGAAGTTTTGAGATTGGCCTGAAGTTTGAACAAGCTGCAGGGTCAAGTCCGGGTTTTTTAATGAATGGAGTTACCACTGCATGTTTTAAAACATCAGGGACCACACCTGTAGCCAAACTGCTGTTAATAATGGCAAGAACAGAGGGTCCAGTTGACGGTAGAACCTGTTTAAAAAATGCAGCAGGGATGGAGTCAGCAGGGGAGCCTGAGGGTTTCATGTGACCAACGACCTCAATTAAAAATGAGAGTGAGATGGGGTCAAAGTGACTGAAGACTGCTGAGCAGGGGACAAGAACTGAAGGGTCGGCTGTGGAGTCTGGAATTGATGACCTAATCGACTCAACCTTTTCAGCAAAATGCCTGACAAACTTATTACAGGTGTCGACAGAGGCCTCAATGGTGGCAGACTGAGGCACGATTAGAATGGTGTTAATGGTGCTGAAAAGAACGCGGGGGTTGTGACTGTTTGAGTTGATAACTTTTGAGAAATATTTGTTTTTCTCCTGTTTAACGGTGGTCTGACAAAAAGCAACAAAGAAGAAGGAGAGGACAGAGAATGTGATGGTTGATTGCAGTGGCTCCATAGCCGACGCCTTCTCCTGCTGTGGCACACTAGAGCGCCGGAGCCGGACTGGAGCAGAACCGGACCGGACCAGTGTCGACTTCAGCCTCAGCCTATCCGGTCAGTCTTGTTTTTCACCGGGGGTGCCTCTCGTGCTGTCGGGTGCGGAGGTGTCGTGCAGAGAAGCGAAGGAGCAGCGTGAAGGAGCAGCGTGGAGGAGCAGCGTGGAGGAGCAGCGTGAAGGAGCAGGGCTGCGTGGTGCTCGAGAGAAGTTTGGAGTTTGTATCGGAGCTGCTGCAGGCCTCCATCCAAACTCACCTGGATAATAATTATTTTTATTCCGGATCACGCTGTTGGCCCTGTTGACCTGAAACGAGCTTGGATCATGTCTTTCACTTCAGGAGGATTTTCTGGCAGCTCGCTCTGCTATTTGCTGCAAATTATCTGTTTCTGTTTCGGCCTGTTGATTCTGGACCCAGCTTCTGTTTCCCATGGGAGCATCCATCCATCCTTCTTCACTGGGGGGCAGGAGCCCCCCCTCAGCCCAACTCAAACTGCAGTTGGGCCACCTCGTCGGGTTTGTTTGCCCATTTGAACTGTGACGTTTTATGGTCTGAAACTTTTTTGCATCATTCATATTACTGTCACTATTTTCAGTTCTCAGATTATCTGGAGTCACTGAATCTGGTAAATACACCTGAATCTGCCCATCACTGCAACTTTCACTGTTTTTGGGTTCTGAATGATCGCGTCTTCATTAATGTTTCTCATGGTTCAATTATGGGGGCTAATTGTCACACTGTTAACTCCTGTAATTACACATCAGTCAAGAAAAACTCAAGAAAATGTCTGATAATAATGTTGTTACTGCTCTCAGGGATTCAACCCAACCCTGGACCCCCACTATTTATATGACACCAAATGACTTTAAAAACATGTCTGGGCTTCATTTTCTGCATGCAAATGCACGTAGCCTTCTGAAAAAACTTGATGCCTTGAAAATTCTGGTCAGTTCTTCTGGGGCAGATGTAATCTTCATGTCTGAAACCTGGCTCAACAAATCTGTACTCAATAATGGCCTGGCAATCAATGGATTTAACATCTACCGCTGTGATCGTCAAAAGGGGGGGGGAGTCGCTGTTTACATCCCCACTTTGTGATAAATTCAAGGAATGTTGCCCGTCTCTCAATCTAACCCAACTGATCGACTCTCCCACCAGATTAAACAAAAACCGTCCTGAAAAATCCTACATCTTAAACCTGTTTCTAACTAATATGCCTCACAAATTCCCTGGTACAGGTGTATTTGCCAATATCTTGAGTGATCATTGTGTGACAGCGGCTTTGAGAGATATTAAACTTCCACCTTCTAAGCCCAGATTAATTCAAAAAAGGGATCTGAAACATTTTTGTGAAGTCATTCTTCTGGGATCTGTCTCACTTTGACTGGCATCGTATTCTGTTAACTGATGACGTGAACTCTGCTTGGAACTATTTTCTTAATAGTTTCATTTATTTTGTGAACAAACATACTCCTTTTCGTCAGTTCAGAATAAAGGGACGAGACAGCCCCTGGTTTACTCCAGAGCTAGCTGACCTCCTGCACAGGAGAGATCATCTTTGGGC